TTGTCTGTCTGTCTGTCTCGCTCTCTGTCCCTCTTTAAGATCCATGTTCAGACAGCTCTTCCTCCTTCTTCCAGCGGCTCTCTAATCACTTTTGTACTTTTCCTTCAGCCCGTGGAGGGAGACTCTGGGGTAGGCAAGAGTGCAGCAGGAGGTCTGGCAGTTAACATCGTGATGTCTGGCTCCCATTGGGAAAGCTGTTGCAGCAGGGGGCATATTCAACGCTGTTTCCCCCGCCAGGAAATGCCAGACACACAGTGGATAAAAATCACTAAATACAAAGACTTCAGTCAGACGCAAAGATAATTGTTTATACGTCCAACCGCCACAGTCGGCTTCAGTGGTAGCGGTTATTGTTCTTGGTTTGGAAATAATAATCTGAAAATCATCTTCTAAGGAGGGAGCAGCATCCAATTGCCTCCCAGGGAAGAGCAGCAAGTGAGAAAGAATCTGTTGCAATGCCCAGGAAAGAGAAAGTGTGCAAAAATGTAAAAGCTTTATGGTGGCACTTCAGTGACTTTAGACACAAAAGATCAGTTTACTCATCATGAAGGGGCCCAAATAGCCTCTGAAAGCCAGTTGCATAAGAACCTCTGTGTCCAGGAGGTGCTTTGTCAAATCTAAGGAAATAACCCCGGTGACATCATCGGGGTTATCTCGGTTTGAACTTTGCAGACTTCAGATTTAAAACAGAAAGTCTGTGTTGCTAACTTAGGTACGTGGGGGTCGGTAAAACTTCCAGGCTTTCAAGGCAGCAGAGGGACGACTGAGTTCACCCAGACAACAAACCAAAATCAAGAAATCATGACCTCTGCTGCTCTCATTTTAAAATTTTAATCCCCGACTTTATGAAAAATGAATAGAAAATCACTGCAGCACCGTCCAGACGCATGCAAAATGTATTGAGAACCAAGTAGTTCTGTCTGAGGCTACTGTTATCACATCCATAAGGAAAGCTGCTGCATTAGCTTTATAATCTGCAAAAAAAAAAGTGCTGCAGGAGTTACGTTTCTGCAAGATGTTGGAAAACATTACTAAAAATGGTGCAAATGTCTTCAATTTTGCTTAAAAAAGAACAAGTTTTATCACTCACTTGAGATCTTTTTGACTTTTTCAAAAAGTGCTAATGCGCTTCAGAGGAGATGAAAACACATTTGTGAATAAGTTCTGACATCATGAACATGACTGATCAGCTGTTTCTGCTTCAAGAGCCTTTAGACAGCATGAGGCATTGCAATACTCGCTGATTTTAAATAATAATTACAACTTGCCCAATTGAACAAAGCTCCAAAAGACTTCTCTCCATGTTTCTGTCAAAGACAGCCGAGGCATTTTTATTTTCTTTTTTTTGTACATTCAAAAGGTTTGCTTTAGATTTGCCTGATAGTTAAACGGAAACATGGCTAAAGCAGCAGGTAGACTGACCAAAGAAAGATTTATCGGCCATTAGAAAGAAAGAAAATATGCAATACAGTTAGAATCCTGCGAGAAGTCTTTAAGATATTAAGAAAGGACTCAGCCAACCTATCGTAAAGGGAGTAAGGAGTCCATAAATCCAAAAGCATCCCTGTGTACATGGTACAAACAACCCCCCATCCCCTCCCAGTTAAATGACTGAAGGCATTCAGATAAATTGTGGCACCACAGGAACTCAGAGATAAACCCACAGTCTGGACCATGTAAGGCCTTCGAAGCAAACGGCAACATTTTTAACACAATTAACCTCACAGGGAGGCAGCGTAGTGCAACTAAGTCCAGTGTGATGCTGTCTGTTTTATTGGAGCCTGACAGAAGTCTGTCCAGAGAATACGGATGAGCTGCAAACAAAAAAAAAGAAAGAAAGAAAGAAAAAGAAAGGCCTGACTGATCCCAACACAAAGAGAATTTTAATAATCGCGGTGTAAGGTGAAAGAAAAGGGATGATCTTTTTCTAGCTTTGAAAGACACAGGCAGGGGTTGATTTTATAGATATTCCAGAGCTGATGAAAACAGAACCTCAAAACAGAATTTATCTGTGTTTGTCAAAATTGTGGGGTAAGATTAAAAAGTTGTGCCTGGATTTCTTCTTCTTCTTTTCTTTTTTTTTGCCTGTAGCTTAAGAAGCAGCAGACAGAATGTCAGGGTGAGAACTGAAGAACTGGGCTTCACAAGATAACCACAGTTTTACTCTGATTTACACAGAGACAGCTGTGAGCCATCCAGCATATTATATCAACCACAGCCTTTAAATTTTGATGGATTCGGTGTAATTTTAATGAAAGACACTGTCTCTACAGCTGCAATCGGAATAATATTTCTATCCTTTGGTGTTTTACCAACTCAGCAGTGTATTAATAAGCCAGTAGGAACCATCTTTAAGCGTTCTATTGCTAACTGTTGTGTCTCACGGAGCAAATTCTTTAATTAAATTCTAATACTGCATTTGTCTGAAGGTAGATGAATGTATAACGTCACATCAAGGGGAGCTCAAAGGTGCATTTATGCTTCCAATATGAAGAATCAAGTCTAAAGCGTCACCTTTGACATCATCCTCTGGCTTCACTGGGTCACTCCATCACACGGACACACAAATGTGTCCACGAAGTGCTCGGGTTACTTCAGTAGCTGCTGTTAGATTCAAACCAGTACTTCAGACCTCACAAGATGATTTCATGAGTCCGATTTCACGGCGCTGACAGAGGGTCAAACATATAAAAAGCTCAAATAAAGCTACAGCAGCACCGAGCTCCAGCGAAACACAATATAGCATTGCTTGGAGTTGGCCAAGAGTGTCATGGGATTTGTGGCAGGCTGCGGGCTATTTTTGATTTACTTTTACTCTTTCTGTGTGTTTACTTCTTCTTTTGAGTAGCTTTCACATCATGTCTGCTCCCACCGCTGGCTGGGATTCTATTAAATAAACAGACCAGGAGTCGCAGTCGATATTCTGCCAATACATTTTTTTTTTTGTTCCCCCCTCCCATCTCCATATATTCAACGTCAACCTGGAAATGTGCAAATTTGATTCCATATAGCGCGTGCTATTGGCTGTAGCGTGTCACACCTCGCGTTGGTGCTCGATTGTTTCAAACAGAGACACGGCACTAAGCCCGGGAGACAGCGTCGGGGAAAATTGACAAATTAATATGACAATACTGGACTATAAAATGCCGAATAAACAATACGTGAGATACGGGAGCTCATGCATATCACACCGATGTTTTGATTAATGCTTCAGACGTTCAGTACACGGGGTCAGAGTACGCTGCTGTCTGAGAACGGTGTCACAGCTCCCTCTGGGTCTCCTAAAGCTGCTGCAGCAGACGCCACAGAATAAGAGGAGAAAAAGGCAAAAAATCCTCAGAGCCTCATTGAAGAAAGGAGAGAAAAATGATGAGGAATACACAACTATGTGTCACAGAGGCAATTAAGGCTGAACTAAACAGCTCCTTACAGACTCCAGCATCAGACAGCGAGACTGATCCCCTGCGGTGGAAGCTACATAAGGTCAACTCTCCACACGTCTGCCAGTTGGCCAAAAAAAATACCTCTGTATCCCTGCCACCAGCACTCCTGCTGAGAGGGTGTTTAGCACTTGTGGCAATATTGTGATTTTTCATACAGTAGGTCGGCGCTGGAGCTAGATTCAAAGCGAACATGCTTGGCACATAATCCTCACGGTGATGTATGTTTGCCAGGGTGATTTCTTTGCCTTATTTAAACAAGAAGTTGAACATTATTTTTTTTTTGTTTTCTGGTGCATGTTCGCAGACCTGAAGTGTTGGAAATGCTGTTTGGCATTTATTCTTTCACTGAAAAATGGATGCTCATTTTCCTGACAGTTAATGTTACAGCTGTATTGAATAACAGCAGGGTGTATTATGCTTTCTTTCATGACATTTAGAGGGAAATCGCACTTCATATTTACAGACCGGTATTAAAAAGCTGCTTGTGGGAGGAATTGATATTGCTTTTTAAACTTTTACTACGTTACAATTTAGCACACTCAAGACAGTGAATGCGATTTGTTTCAAATTGTAAAATATGAGCTGAAAAACAGTTAAACCCTGAGGCAGATTTATTTTTTAACTGTACAAAAATATGTGTAATGATATTTGCCCAACATGCAGCATTGATACTGATTTTTTTTTAAATCAGATCAGCAGATGTGGGCCATTGTATTCAGGATGTTCGCACAACAAATGAATTACAATCAAATGACTTTTTCTTTTTTTTTTAGCAATGTGTTATTAATTGAAAACCATGTGGCCACCTCAAATGCCACATTGCTGCAGGGAAGTGGGACACAAACACTGTGAAGCAGCACTGCTGAGCGTTGGTAAGAGTGTGAGGCTGGATTATGGCCTGTGGGGATACAGAGGGTCTCTGATCCCTTTGCCACCTTGTAGGGATTACAGGTTTGAATTTGATATGGGCCGCCACATGCAGCCAACAGAGGGAGTGTCGGAGGAGGATCACACAAAATCTGTGAGCAGCCACATGTTTTCTTGTTTCTTGTGACTGAACTGTCTTTAAAGACTTTTCTCTTTTTTTTTTTATCTCTAAAACCTGAAAAAAACTACACAGATAAATGCTTCCCAGGGCGACACGGCGGTTCAATAGAGTGAATTTTATTTGGAGATACTCTGGTTTTGAACTGTTCTAATAAACCATTGTCTATATAATCTCTGTTTGGATAAGCCACAGCAGCTAGGTTGCACATAACCTCTCTCTACAAAGCAGCTTCGAAAATCCGTACAGAGAGTGCAAGAAGAAAAACACAAGGGGAAGTAATGCTCTTTTATGTCTTGAGAATGAAATGACGTCAGAGAGCAGGACAGTGCAAGATTAATATCTCCCTTTGAACTTTAGGTTGACAGAAATGTGCCCTAGAGGCTCAAAATCTTCCAAATCCACTGGCCTACAGGCTGTTATCTACAATGCCACACTTGTTTTCAGTAAATGCAATGCTCTGGTGCGAAATCCAGTGTCTTAAATGGTCAAATATGAGCTGGTTGACTTACCAAAGGCTGCAATAGTGATGCACAGCAGCAGAGCAAACCGCATCGTGTGGCCCTCCATCTCTGTTCAGGTTCCAGGTGTCGGTGAAAGCTGAATCTCAGTCTGTGGGGGTGTGAAGACACTCGGGCAGTAGTGGAAGGGTCCTCGTCTGGTGGCGGAGCAGCGGAGACTGTGAAAGTGGAAGAGCAGACAAAGGCAGCTTTAAAAAAAGTTGAAAGGTCAGGAGAGAGGAAGAGGGGGGAAGTCTGGGAGGAGACGTGAGGAATGACAAAGATCTGAACAATCTCACGGATGTCATAGTCAGAGTGCAAACACAAGCCAAGAGTGATTAACCAAAAATGTGGTCATAGGTAGTGATTTATAACATTTAGACAGCAGCTCACCCTTTACTGGGTTCTCACATTCTGGTTCCATGCCACAAAATGATCAATTAAACAGAACAGATAAAGGGCAGTGGTCACTTACACAACCTGTTAAAACACTGAAAGTTGCTTAGATTTGTGAAATTCCCTCTTAAATGGGGAGGAATTTCCCCCATGAGACAAACCCACAATATTTCTGTCCCGTCTTCTTGGCGCACAATGAGGGTCGGAGCGCAGAGGTTATCTGCTGGTCACTATACTTCTGGCTGCACTGTTTCAGGAAGCAGCACGGCATCGCTTTCTTTAAATAATATCACAATGCCGAGATCAGATAAGAAGGAGACTGCTCTTGTTATATGATTCATATAGAGGGGAAAGGAAGAGCCTGTGTAAACTGTTTATGCAGCCCCGAAAGAAAACATAAAGTCTCGTTATTTCCCCGGAATTCTGAGAAAAAAAAAAGAGTAGTGACATAACTACTAAAAATCTGCCTAAGAATTAAAAACAAATAAACTAGTAATAATGGAATTAAGAAGCCTAGATGTGATATGGAGAGTTAGGATCCCCGTGTAGACTACAAAACTCACTTTCATATTTGGCAACTTTACGCATTATCTGCGCTCGTTTCACCTTCATCGTCTCCAAACAGCCATAAAACAGGCTGATCGGGAATCAGAGCTTAAAGATATTGCCTACCGCCCTCCAGGCTGCCAGGGAAATTGAAAATACACCACAAAAAAAAAAGAGAAGAGAGAGTGTAAATAAATTCCTGAATTATTAAACTTACTTTTATTTAAGTAGGTGGCTCTCTTGAATAAAGTTGGCCGTATAATCCACGGGGTGAGGAAGTGGCTGCATTCAGCAGTGTAACGGTGTCAGGACTTTCCAAAGTTTTTGTGCTGCCTGGGCGGTGCGGATTTACTTTTGTACCCCTCCCACATACAGCTTTTTTTTTTTTTTTTTTCTCTTTCTTGTTCTTAGTAATGAGCGCTCCCTGTCACAGCGTTATCAAGTGAATCTCGACTCAGGGAGATTTTATAGCTCTTGGAAAATGTGACAAATTGTAGTTGTGCTTTCTAAGATGAACAAGAAGTTTTTAGAAAGAGGATGAACAAAACTACTAGAGAGGGTTAAAAAAAGAATGTGTAAGCATGTCAGTGTGTCATAACTCAACGTATTCATGCTGTTGTCAGAAATGTTTGGTTAGGTTTGGTGTGATAAAAAGACAGAATCTAGTCATAATAATTAAACAGAAAGTACAAGAGTTCATGTTCTAGGAGGCATCTGTTGGTTTCAGTTGCACAACGCTATGTCTGTGTTCCATCTGTACAACACACTGTAGCACATGTGGTGTTGATGACAACTACATAAAAATGTGGATTTTTGCTCACATTTTGTCACCTTTTATGTTCAGATGTTGGCTTCAGTGTTTTAGTTTTTGTCTTAAACAAGTCTTAAAGTTCCTCTTCATCCACTAACCAAACCCCTAAAAAGTCAACTTAGTGTGTCAAACTTACATATTGAGAATTTGGGGGGGTTAGACATGACGGTAAATTGTAGATTTTGACTAATTCAGCCATATATGCCATAAACCAAACTGGAGGAAAAACAGCAATATGAAATGTCCCCTAGTGCAAGTTCACAGGATTTGTTCTTTAGAGTCATGTATGAAAGCATAGA